AAGCCACTCTTTAAAGAAATTTACAAAAAATGGAAAGAACTATCACTATCCTCACTACTATTTTTATTATGGAAAATATAAATTTTTTTGAAAGAAATATTTTTTGACAAGATGTGAATAAACATTTGATAAATCATTGTAAATCAATTTTGATTTTTAATATGGAAAATATTTATAGCTATAACTGCTTGAAAAAAAGGTTTTTGGTGTCCTTAATAATTTTTTTTGATTAAATCATAGCTGTGTACATTAATGCAGTCATGGGGTATAGTGTGCTGGTTCTATACACAATCTGAAATACTTGCATCAAACTGGTCAACATAGTCTTCATGTCATTTTCCTAGTTATTGTGTTAAGACATTTATACTCTACATTTAGAAAGATTCACATGTACCCTTATAAGATGAACTATAGGCGTGGTCCCACCAATCACCCTCCCTCCACCCATCCTCCTCCCTCCCCTCCTCCCCCTCTCCCTAATAATTTTTCTTTTCTTTTCTTTCTTTTTTTTTTTTTGAGATGGAGTCTCATTTTATTGCCCTCGGTAGAGTGTCATGGCGTCTCAGCTCACAGCAACCTCCAACTCCTGGGCTTAGGTGATTCTCTTGGCTCAGCCTCCCGAGTAGCACCCGCCATAATGCCTGGCTATTTTCTGGTTGCAGTTTGGCTGGGCCGGGTTTGAACCCACCACCCTTGGTATATGGGGACGGCAACCTACTCACTGAGCCACAGGCACCACCCAATAATTTTTAAGAGTACAAATGTTTCCTGTTACCTAACAGTTTGAGATCCACTGTCTATATTATTCTTCTTCCCAGTGGTTAGAAATTAGTTTGCTGCAAGTCAAAGATTAAGCTAAAGTAGGCCACAATTTCCATTTACATAAAGTTAAGAAGAAAGAAAAGGAAGAATAGCAAAGTCAACATGTTGCCATATGGTGGTTCTATACAGTAAGGCAATCTGGGTAGTCTGAGATCAGAGCCTCTCCGTAATTGTTTCTGTATTTTTTTTTAAATGCTACCTTTGCTTTATGGAAGGATTAACTGTGCTACCACTAGAATAATGGACTAGGTCAAATAACAAGGCCGACATCTATTTTCCAATAGAAAAACTCAACTAGGTTTTTTTTTTTTTTAATAGTTCAAGCAAATTATGGCTCTTTTAAACCAATTTTTTAAAAATAGCTGGTCCATTTTATGTATTCATTTTTGTGAGTATCACATTTAAAAATTGGCTTTGGGTTTGAAAAACCCAAAGATGAAAATAAAGACCACTTATAATCTATCTAGATACAAACTTTATGCCTTTCACAAAGATCAACTCAAAACAAATCATTGAACTAAATGTAAAACACAGAACTATAAAATTATAAGAGATAACATGGAAGAAAATGTAGGTATTCTTGGATTTGGCAATGCATTTTTAGACACAAAACCTAAACATTATCCATGGAAGAGGAAAGTGATAAACTGAACTTTATTAATATCAAAATCTGGTGCTCTGCAGAAGACAACAATGTTCAGAGAAAGAAAAAGCAAACCACAGACTGAAAATATTTTGCAAAACACATATCTGATTAAGGATTTGAATTCAAAATATACAACCAACTCTTGAAACTCAATGATAAACAGCAAATTAATAAAAAAAAATATAAAAAGGATCTTAACCGACACCTCACCAAAGAAGTTATGCAGATGGAAAGTAAGCGTGTAAAATGTGCCCAGTGTCACGCGTCATTAGGGAATTGCAAGTTATAATAGCTAAGTTATACCTGTGTACGTACTTCATCTGCTAGAATGGCTAAAATCCAAAAAACAGCAACTCCAAATGCTGGCAAGGATGTGGAATGACTGATACTCTTATTGCTGGTGGAAATGAAAAGTTATGCAGTTTGGCAGTTTCTTACAAAGCTAAACATACTTTAACCATACAATTACCTACAACTCTATGCAATTGAATAGAGTTCAGTTTAGAAATTGAACTTTAAAGTATTCACTCATGTAAGTTGCAAATTTGTATTTAATGAACATCTACATTTGGCTGTTCATAGCGGATTTGTTCATAATCACCTGAAACTGGAAGCCACCAAGTTGTTCTTCAACAGGTGAATGAATAAACTATGGGACATCTAGACAATGGAATGTTGTCCAGCAATAGCGAGGAATCTTAAATGTATATTACCAAGTGAAAAAAATAGTCTGAAAAGCTGAATCCTTTATTATTTCAATATGACATTGTGTAAAAAGAACAATTATAGAAATAGTGAAATATCAATGGTTGCCTGGTTTTAGAGGTAGGGTTACTAGGGGAGAAATGAATGGGTAAAGTTTGGGATAGTTTTTCTTTTTGCATTCTTCTACATTGTGTTTTTTATTTCAAATTAATATCAGGGTACAAACTTTCAGGTTGCATTGTTTTCATTTCTAAGGTAAAGTTCAAGTTGTAGTTGAGCCCTTCATGCAGGGTGTACTGAACACCCTCACGTTGCACATTAGGTGAGAGCCCGCCAATCACCCTCTTCCTCCTCCCGTCTCCCCTCTCTTACCAGACTATAATTGTGTTTTATATTTCTTGTGGGTGTGTAGTTGTTTATATATTGGTTTCATATTAGTATTGAGTACATAATAATAGCATTGCAAACTATTCAGCCATTAGAAAAGATGGAGACCTTCTGTCTTTCGTGTTTACTTGGAGTTGAAGCTCAGGGGATTTTTAAATAGTTAAAGTATATTTTACTGTAATGTGGGTGCATGGTGTGCATTTGTGAAAACCTATATAATTATAAGGTAATAGTTAACCTTCATGAAAACTACGGCCTTTAGTTAATATTAATGTATCAGTGTTGGCTTATTAATTTTTACAAATATACCACATGAACGTAAGATGCTTATAACAGGGGAAACTGCATGGCAGGCCAAAGACCTGACATACGTGAATTCTCTCAACTATCTGTTCAATTTTTGGATAAATGAATATTAAAAATTAAAATATTTTTTAAAATAACCATTTTGTATTGTATGATATATTTTTTTTGATAAGTGAAACGGAAATAGTTTGTGTTGAAATACTGTCTCTTCCTTGTGTAAGTAAGTAGCATTACATGTAAGTCCCCCGTACATTTTCTCTTTGTTGGAAGATGAAGGTTAGTTGATATTACTGAATGATTTACACTATGGTGTTAGGGGATAGTAGTGGAAACGTGTCCACTGAGGAGCAGGTAGTAAAAATAAAGCATTGGCTGGGTAGGCCTTTGTTGGAAAGACAGCTATTTGTAAATATACATTTTGGAAACTTGTCCATTTCAGAAAATTTATTTCTAAACACCATTATCTTTCAAACCATTTTGGCTGAATTTTACCAGTCACTTTGAAGAAGAAAAATGAAGCATACCAACAGCGATTTTCAAGTTTTGAGACATTTTTCTACAATATTGGTATAATAAGGATTAACACATTTGTAAAATGCTTTCAATATTTTCATTGTAAAGAGTATTTATTTTTGTTACTGGCACTACCAGACAGATGTGGGAAGGCTGAGAACATGTGAATTTCTCTCTTTCTATGCATCTTCAAATGGCAGTTACCATCCCAGCTATTAGCTTGAGCGTTGGTGTTCTTTCATTACCCTGTGAGCTACCTGTGTGGAGTTAGGTCAGGCCAAGGAAGATTAGAGACAGTGTTAAAGTGTGTCCCAAGTCCCCTCCCACTTTGCTTCCTCTGTGACCACCAGCAGCTCATGTCGTAACACAAGTTGGAGCCAGTCTCCCTCAGCAACTCCCCAGTCTCCAGTCTTAACTGGCACGATTATGTTGTATCATTGTCTTGGGTGCCAAGATTTTGATTTGAATTTGCAAAAGAAAAAATTCAAGATTTTGATCTCAATTTGCAAAGTGGCTAATTCCACTTACGGCATCAGGTTGAAATAGCCCTAGTTAAACCAACATCAAGGGATGCGGATTTTAATGGGATCTGAAAACACAGCGTCTTATCTTAAATAATAAACTTTGAGTGATAGACTTTTAGTCGAGAGGTCAAGTCAGAGGCTGTTTCCACAGTTGGGAACATCTCCAGGTCCACCTAATCATGAGATGGCACTGGGGTGACGATGCTGTTTGTGTAACAAAGAGAAACTCTTTACTCATGGGGATCTTCCCCGGAAACTGAATCCTGTGCTGTGTTGAGGACATTATGAATTGTACACTTTTTGCTTATTTCACCTATATAATCTTAGCAACTTTGGATCAAATAAGTTCTAAGGTTAAATCAAAAGGATTTGTGGGATGTGCAGACATCGTTTCAGTTGCTTACTAGTAAAATGAGGAAGTGGATATACGTGAGAACTACTAAATTTATCAGATGCAGCAGAAGGATACAGAACGTGGTATTCACCCAGGCCTCATGCCTAGGAGCAGCTTTCCTCTTTAGAATATTGTTAAAAAATTAAAAATAAGTAAAAACTTAGACACACTCAGACTTGTTATAAAGCAAATTTTAGTTATACAAATGTAGCTTCCTGTCCAAAGAAAGCAGACAGTTTTTTCAGTACCTGTATATTCTAATTCTCAGTACCCTATATACTATTTAACACAATTCTGATAGTTTAATAGTTTATTTTATTTCTTAAGCCACAGATGCAATAAGCAAAGCTGATGAAAGTAGAACAGATGTAAATGGCAGGTAAACAGAACATGTCAAAAGGTTTCAGATGACATTGAGAAACGGTGCTGATCACAGCCTGTATACAGCCCATGAGTGTCTTGTGGCCTCAAGCTTATGGCCTTTGCTTTAGATTATGATGCCATCAATAGCGGAGAATATTCTAATATCATAATCCTAGAACTGAGGATGGAAAAAGTGTTTTACAAGTTTATTTCTAAGTTTCGTTGGTGTTTTTCTATTTTTCTTTCTTTCTAACATCTTGGGTCTTATTAAGAAAAAGAAGAGGTCAAACTTTGCAATATTTTTCATAAAATATGTGATCTTTTATTTATCTCTCCATAGATCCAGGGCTGCATAGGCAGCTGTATTTTCTGCAAAGACCATCCAATGTCGTAGCCATTGAAGGAAAAGATGCAGTCCTGGAGTGTTGTGTTTCTGGCTATCCTCCGCCGAGTTTCACCTGGTTACGAGGCGAGGAAGTCGTCCAACTCAGGTATTACACATTTAAGACTTTCGTCAAGTATATGTCACTTTTTCTATGATTTGATATAAGTACCTAGAAATATAGGGATTTTATATAATAATTGAATATTTTTTCCACATTCCTTGTGACGATATAGTGTATGAAAGGCATTTGACTAAGGAATGAGGGTATAAAGAGTCAAAATCCATGAGAGCTACTGGAAAAAATAATTGAGAAAGCCAGGGTTTCCATGGAGATGGTCCTGCCCCAAAAGTCATCAGTAAGGATATTTTAGAGAATCTCACCCTAAGGAAGTGGTTTAGGAGAAGATGGGTTTTAAATATTCTTAGGGCACATACACACAGAGATAACTATGTGAATCGATGCATATGATAATTAGTTTGATAGTAGGAATAGTTTCACAATGCATACATATACCAAAGCATCACATTATACATTATACATATAATTTTTATTTGTCAATTATACCTCAATGAAGCTGAAGGGGAAAAAAGAAACCAAAATTTTGTGATGCCATACTATTTTCAAATATGTTGCATGTGATTGTAGGGTGTGAGCAATTTTTTTTTATCTCCAGTTATTTCTCTCTCCATTGCAGCTATAACAAATATTTAAGGCAAGACAGAACTTAGCTGGATTTGGACTGCAGGAACATTAATAACAAAGTACAGTTAGAAAGTATGTTCTTAAGGGAATGTAGCACTTTGTGCTTAAATGGCTCTTACTTAAGAAATGAATTTCGTTGATCTTGAGGACTGGTGGACTTTTTAACACTGCTTTTGTGATAAGGTAAGTCCATAAGTCTTAAATTAATCTTTAAGCTTCATCCACCCTAAATATTGAGGTATATAAAATAGTATGGTATCACACTATTTTTGAGAATATTAAAACATCTTCAGCAGGTCAGGATGTGTTCTCTGGATGTAGCCAGGCACTCTTGGTGCAGGATTAATATCCCTTTGCACAAAGATCACTAAATCGCAGGTTGGGACACAGGATGTTGACTTTCACTCTGGGGAATCACTTCATTATGGTTCTCAATCCAAAATGAGAGCATTGGACTAGCTTATATATAACTTACTTTCGAGCACTAACGTTAGTTCCAAGTTTAATCTATTTCATTTAGTTACTGTGGCACATAGCCTTCCAGTGGGAGTAGTTGACCTTGAATGAATTTTTGATCAGTAAGTAAGATGTCATCAAGCCCCTATAATACATACAGAGTTTCTTTCTGATTTTATAATTTGAGCTTTTGTGATGTTCATTTAAACTGTGACTACTCATACATGTCATTTAATTTATTCTCTAATTATATATGCCTTATGTCTTACAGGTCTAAAAAGTATTCATTATTGGGTGGAAGCAACTTGCTCATCTCCAATGTGACAGATGATGATAGTGGAACTTACACCTGTGTTGTCACGTATAAAAACGAGAATATTAGTGCCTCTGCAGAGCTCACAGTCTTGGGTAAGTGAATGGCTGGGGGGGAGTTGACATTGTATCCTTTAAAATTTATCATCATGATATTTTAAATGCTCATCACTGAATTGCCTCCTGTGTTTAGTAATGTGAATTGCCAAGTCCTCATACTCCACACATGTTGCACACGTGTCCTTGTTCTTTGATGAATTGTAGAGGGGGTAATTGCACTGTTTGAATACTTAGCACATTGATTAAAATCCAGATACATTACTTTGTAGTCTAATATGTTAGGGTTGCAATTGAAAAGTACCAAAAAATCATTAAGGGACAGATAGTTTGGCAAACAAAAGGGGTGGCTCAAAATATGTGGGGAAAAATAAATGAGAAGACAAGGATGGAATTGTATAAAAACTATACAACTATGCTCTTGAGGGAGGGGAAGGCAGATGCTATTTGGGATGACAGGGTCACTGACATTAAATTCCGCATGTAGACATGATTGTTTTATTGATATGGAAATGCTGTAGGCATTCTGTTGAAAGTGAACTATTAAAATCAAATACATGTAAGGAAAACTTACATATCAAGAAGATAATTTAAAGACTTTTAAGGGGCATGAATGGTTCATCTTATTCTGAAAGGCAAGGTCACCCACATATCCTTGTAAATCAATACTTATACTTTTGTTATTTTCTTATTTACTCCAGATTTATGTTAACCATTTTCATTTGAATCACTTAGTTTGGAGAAAGTACCTTAACATTTGGAATTCAACTGCCTGTTTCTTGTAACAACAACCAAAAAAATGGTTATTAGTTTTATAATTTTTTCCTTCTGGAATATATCTTTTTGTATCTCAGGCTATTTGAAATTTATTAAGTATAAATGAAAAGCTGTTATGAGCTGACTACATTTGCTAACCTCTATTATAATATCCTGTGCCACCCACTTTGCTCTTTGTCTTTCTAGTTTATTCGAAAAATACTTTCATCTATGGATAGAGCAATAATGTACCTGATAGGTTAGGGAATGGAGTTGCTTTTCCTTGGATCAAACCGTAAATACCAAAGTAAGAAAGGGCACAAAACTTAAATCGTTTGTATTTAGCGGTAGCGTTATTTTAACCAAGATATCAGCTGCTTTTTAAATGGCCAAAATTTAATTTCATCACACTTTATATTTTGGTGAAACAAATAGCTTTTACATTTTCAATGTCAAAGTAACACAGTAGGGCTATCTAGATATTATCTTGTACTATGCTGTAGTAATAATAAGGCAGATATGTGTATGGAATAGGCTAGAATTTATACTTATCATTGGCAAACCTTTACTTGCAAATGCAGGAGGTCAAATTTAGTATCAAATTAATGCATAATATTTTGACATGCAAGGTTTCATTAATATCCAAGCCAAATATCTGTGAATATTGATTTCTGAGGACAAAATAAATTAACCGAGTTGTATATGTGTGGATATACAGGTGTGCAGAAATATTGGCATTCAACTTTAATGAATTGAGTAATTACGCAAATTTATAGGCTATGAGATAGATATGAAACTATCTAAAGGAGCACAAGGAAAACATAATGATAACTTTTCACTCTAGGCATTGCCTTTATATTCCTTAAGAGGATTCACTTTTGATGCCTTGGCATGTTTTAGTTCATAAATTGCTCATGTCTCGTCAAAGTTTGTTGGCCTACGTGAACTTCTGTACTTACATCACAGTGGAGTGGGAGGCCTCTTTGCTCCTTCCTCCCACTGGGTAATTAGTCTCTACCACTTCTATTGAGTCTTGGTTGTTTTTTTGAATATTACATAAGAAATATTTCCAGTATTATAATACTGACAATAACAAATTAATGTAGTCCTAAAATGAATATGTAATGTAATATGTAATATAGTCACTTCTTTATATGTATATAAACATTTATGTGCACACATGCATGTGCCTACTTCTGTGAGATATAGAATACGCATGTGTATATTTGACACGTAGATATATGAGCAACAGCATCTACTGAGTTCAAACAATGTCAGACATTTATTTTTCACAGTGTTGTCTGTGAGAAGTGTGTAGGTGGAGCCCATTAGATATCAGTGCTCCTGCTGACTCCAGTTCTATACCAGCTGAAAAAGAAGAAAATGAGTAAGGCACAGAGTGACGCAAATATCTATCACCGTCATTTATTTATTTATTTTCTAAAAAGCGGCCATAGAGCACGTGGTTTGCAATGACATGAGTGTGATGTGTCCACTGGGCTCCTGGCAGCCTGGACCTGAGCAGATATCACTCAGGCATAGACCTTGGTCCCACTGGATGGTGGCTGATGGCAGTGGGGAGGACTTGCAGCCTGGACCTGGGCAGATGTCACGCAGGTGCAGGCCTCTGTCCCACTGCATGCTGACTGATGGCAGTGGGGGAGGACTTGCAACCTGGACCTGGGCAGATGTCACTCATGTACAGGCCTTTGTCCCGCTGGATGATGGCCGATGGCAGTGGGGAGGACTTGCAGCCTGGACCTGGGCAGATGTCAGTCAGGTGCAGGCCTTGGTCCTACTGGATGGTGGCTGATGGCAGTGGGGA